GGAAAGTCAAGTTCAAGTCCTCCCAAGGGCCTATTGACCCTCAAGGTTTAGCCCCATGATGCCTCCAACCTCTTCTCTTACCCTCTGTTCTCCACCACTCCCTCCTAGCAACACTGGTCTTCCTGCCTCTCCCCAAACACACCAGGCTTGCCTTCACTTTACTCACTGTTCCTCTTACTTAGAATGCTTTTTTATTTCCTCTAAAACAATGGCCAAATGTTACTTTCCCAATGAGATCTACTCTTATTACTCCACTTAAAACTGCAAACTGCAGCCAGCAGGTGACATGATAGTTTATAAGAAGAATGCTGGACTCCCACATGGCCATCATAGTTCAAGTCCCAGACCTGGCAACTTGCTTTCTCACTTTCCCTTTCTTTCTCTGTCTAGTCAAATGGAAAATAATAATGATGATGATGATAGATGAAAAATAAATAATTCTTTAAGTATATACATATATACACACATAGATATGTTAAATAAATAAAACTGCAAGCCTCATCCCCTTTCCTGCTCTAGTTTACTGAATTTCCCTATCACTAGAATGAAAACCCCAAAGATATATAATTATTTTCTATTTTTCTTCACTGCCACTCCCTAGTTCTTAGAACTGTGCCTGGCATTTAGTGGCGGTTCAGTACATAGTGCCGGATGGATGGATGGATGGATGGGTGGAAAAGATGGGTAGAAAAATCAATGAATGGTAGGAAAATGCTAAAGTAAACGAGTAAAATAAAATTCAGCATCTGAGAAAGATATTTTTAACATCTATTCCTCCTATCTCCAAGCACAATGCTAGATCTTGTCATACAATGAATTTCAGCCTCCATAGAATCCTTAGAATTAGGCCAGTCTTAATTTTGCCTCCATCAGATATAGCCCACAATAAGCAGACTCGGGGAGCACCAGGAGTCAAGACTGGCAGCCCCTGGCTCCAATGCTCTGGAACGAAGGAGAGAAATATTTGGTGAACTAAAGATAACCAACTTTTATTAAGTTTCTACCAGGTGACAGACATTACATTAGACTCTTTCCTAAAGCTCATAAAATCCTTACCACTCTTAGACACTGGTATTAATCTTATTCAACAAGTAAGGTAACTGAAGTTCAGACAGATTAACACAATGCTACAAACACACAGTGGATTCAAGATTTAAACTAGATATATTGGGTCGTTGGAAAAGTCATGATGTGTATTTTTCTGTTTTTCTTTGCAAAAAATGCATCATGACTTTTCCAACAATCCAATATATCAACCAACAGTTCTTGCTTTTCCCATGTCACCACACCAAAGGTTACTCCAGAAATCTTTGGGTGCTTCAGTCCAATGCTCCCTTCTGAATGATTCGTTATCTCTGGTCTCAGTAGATCAAGCACCTTTGAACTGGGGCAGAAAGGATAAGAAAGAAGCAAGTAAAATTAAGCCTTTGTTTCTTAGTTAATACCAAAAATTTTCTGGAATAAAAAAAAATCAGTAGGCTGAAATTGTCAGTCCTACACACACATGCATGCACACACACATGCACACACACACACACACACACATGCATGCACACAAACATGCATGCCAAAAGCAATTAGTAAGAAAACATAGTATTGAAACTTACCCTACTTTCACCTTTGCCCAAGTTCCCCACAAGTCAGAAGGACTAAAGATGTGCTGCCCAGCAGCTCACAATTCTAGCCACTGCTGCTTAGTATTAAAGAGATAGAAAGATATTCACCAGCATCACCCTTGGAAGAGTCCCTGAGAAATCTCTTTTCCTCCTCCCACTCACATGTTTCTCCCTGGGCGTTGTACTCACTGCGCTGCGAGTTGCCTCCACCTCCACCCGATTTACAGAAACCGGACCCATAGCACCCTGCAATTAATGATAACAGGCATGTAAGTCTTTCAACCCCTTTGTTTTCTCCCAGCTTACCAGAAGACATTATCCTTCACAGTCAAGGAGGCACTACTGAGTCACTGTTAGCAGGTTTTCCTCCAATATTTGTGTTGTAACGACATTCTTTCCTTCCCACTATCATCACGTCTGCTTCCCAGTTAATAATTTCTATGAAATTATTTAATCAGTCAGTTTAAGTGTCCAGTGTGTAAACATGGTTAGAGTAGAAGGTCCCCATGGGGAATAGGCCCACTAGTGACTGCTTCTCTCACCTAGACCAACCTACCAAGCTAACCAGCTCATATCCAGTCCATCCCACCTGAGGAGAGTAAATAAATTCTCTGGTCTGTACCCTTACCTGAGCGGCACCTATGAGGACTAAGAAAACTCAAGATTGAATATTTATGGTTGTTGCTGCTGATTTCAGTATTTGGACCCACCAGCCAATAAGAGACTGTTTCTTGATTCTTGCTTAAGAAGTAAGGCCTGGCAGGGCCTTAGCGGTGCAGACCACAGCACACTGAACTGCAGCACTGGAGGCTGCAACGTGAGGAGACCTTGCAGAGGGCGCTTTCTCTCTGTCTTCCTCATGTACACATGCATGCTCTCCCTCTCATGAAAAAATAAATACACTTCACCAAAAAAGAACAAAAGAGAAAGGAGACCTACCAGGTCGAGTGTAAAGTGTACCTATGAAACGTGAGGAACAAGTAAACCAAGGAGACCTAGAAAATGGCTCCATTATGAAGCAGAAGAACCACACATATTGCCAAGACCTGAGTCACTCTTCTAATTACAGGCTCTAAACTGATATGCGCTTGTTCTAGAAGAAGGAAAGAAATTCCTGAAAACCTTCTGTTAAAGGAGATTAAACATTAAACCATGTAAGACAAGAGAATGGGAAGTTGTTTCATTAGGGGCTCATCTGGATAAGTAAACTTGGAGAAAGGCGATGAAGCAGGCTCATGCTTATATTTTCTCACTCTTGTTACACTTAAGAGACCTGAAAGCACAGAAGCAGAGACAGCTATGTAATCTGTAAGCCCCGGAGCAAACCATGCCTTCAAGCAAATCTCCAACAAAATTTTTGAGAAGATTGGCTTGATTGCTTTTTTTGGAGAGGTTTTTTGCTATAGGGTGTGTGCACTCACCAGACAGACAGAGAGAGACAGAGAGAAAGAAAGTGAGAAATCACCCTCCAGGGAGATGGCCACACCGCAATCCCTTCTCCTCCATTCTCCTCTTGGGATCTTGGACACACACGCATATGCACCCGGCGTGAGTTTTAAACTACCGGGTCCAGGATGCGAACCATGGTCGACTACATGGGAGTCCAGTGACATAGCCATTACGCTAACTGCTGGTCCCTTTTTTTTCTTTTTTAACTAGCCTTTTTCTTAGCGCTATTCAGGGCTTCTGTGGAACTAACCAGGAGACCCTACTACGACCATCACCACTCACCTCAATCAAAATCCACTTACCTCATGAACCGAATGCTTTCTCTAATACGATCATTTTAGAAATGTGGTTAATGATGATGGAAATAAAGGTGAGGAGGGGTAAGCCCAAAAGGGAATTCAGTTTAACCACATTTAAACCACAAAGTCTTTGCTACAAGGATACCATGTGGAACTGCTTTCTCCAATTACTAGCATCATAGCCCTATCTACAAGAGTAAGATGTTCAGCTAATGTAAGTAAACTAGTTCATGATTTCTTTAACTGGACTCAGAACACCAGAAAAAAATAGTTGTTCACCTTTATTCTTACTTTCTTATTCACAATAAACTCAGAATTGCCTTCTATGAATTGTTTCTTAAATTGGATTTGCAAAAATCAAGAATATCAGTTTGTATATTCAAATATTCCCTGAAGGGTCCAGCCCTTGACCTGGTGATTAAGGCAGCTGGATCCCACATGGCCAACTTTGGGGCTTAATTCCTGCATTCAGTGGATAGAGAAATACACCAGGTACCATGTGCATGTGCGCCCAAAATCCCAAAGAGAGGAGAGATGGAGGAGAAGAAATTGTGTTGTGACCATTCCCCAGAGGGAATGCTTTCTCACTTTCCCTCTTTCTCTGGCTCTCTCTCTCTCTCTCTCAAGCACATGTGCCTTCTGGCAAGTTAAATAATACACATATTCCTTGAACAATCGAGGAAGATGCAATGGCCGGACTTTGATTTTGGACAATGGAGGAAATGAGAGTTCTAAATGTCATTTGTTAATTAAAACATGGAAAAGTATGCCTTTCCATGGTAGGATGGCTCTCACTAGATGCCAGCACAATGCTTATGGACTTCCAGCCTCCAGAACTGTGAAAAAATTTCTTTCTTTCCTTTATTTAAAAAAAAAAAAAAATGGGGAGGGGGCAGCCGTGGCTTGGTGGTTAAGGGAGATTACTCCCACATGGTTGACCATGGAGTTGAATCCTGGACCTGGCATCTTTAGAGTCACCATGGGTACATCTGTGTGCATGTCCTAGATCCCCACAGAAGGGAAAAATGAAGGAGTAGGGATTGTGGCATGACCATGTCCCATGACGGGTGCTTTCTCGCTTCCCCCATCACCACCCCTATCTCTCTCTGGTGACATCTCTCACTCACCCTGTAGCAATTATTTTAAATGTCTTTTAATTTAGATTAAAAAGAAGAAGAAGAAAAGAAACATGAAAAAATAAAGTGAAAATGTTCCAAACAGTGAAGGAAAGGTGATGCTCTTTAGGTCTGTGGCTTTTCCTGACATTCTACTTTTTTCAGGGCTCACCAAGTCTGGCAGTGTGACCCAATGATTCAGCACCATGAGTGATTTTATAATGACTGGGAGGACAATTTGGAGGCATACTGAGCCTTGGTGTGAAAGACAATGGTGACTTGCATAAAGGTAGGACCATGCTCTCTGTGGGTCGAATGAGTGCTTTCTCAACGACACAGGTGCCCCCTCCCCATTTTTTTTTCTTTTTATTTTCACAAGGACTAAATTCCACGCCAGCATCAGGATGCCTCCAAATAAAAATATCTCTTTTTTATTCTTGTCTTCTCAACTATTTCTTTTAAGATATTGTGGGAACAAATATAAGTTCTCTAAATTTCAGGAAAAATTGAAGAAAATTCCCTAGAGTAGTATAGGAATTCTATTTCCAATCCAAATAAAAGATCCATAGAAACAAAATATCCCATCATTATTCTTTTCTGAATCTTGTGCCAATTTCTGTGTCAAGAAGAACTTGAGAAGGTTGCTGACAGAGAAGCAATCCTGGCTTTGGGGACGGTGGAATGAGAATAAAGAAAGAGACAAAAGTAGGGAAATGGAGACAAGAGTGAGACTGAGGCCAAGTAAAATACCTTTACTAATTTCAGTGGTTTCACATTGCTAAGCTAATTCTCTTCCTGTGAAAAGCCAACTACTACCTTAGAACAAATCAGAATGTTTATTAGTACTCGGAGTAGTTTCATCCACTCACCCCACCTTCTCATTACCACTATAAAACATAAACAATTATAAAGTCAAAAGTAAAACCAGCAACGCTTATCACAATTAATACCCACCAGACTATATCAAATTTGCAGTGCATGTCTCTCCAGAGAGCATAATCTTATCCTTGCTTTTGTCCTGATAGTAAGGTGGCCTTAGCTCTGTCTAAGAACACAAAAGGCAGCCCTGAGGGCCACCTGCGACCCGGCAGTGGTAGTGCAATGCTCCACAGCGTTGGATCCACATGAAAGACTGAGCTTCTATCCCTGAGTTGACCTGTACACACCAGTGCCCTTCATTCTTGCTGGCTGGAAAGGGTGGGATGAGGATAACAATATGAGATCCTTAGAGGATCTCTCTCTCTCTCTCTGTGTCTCTCTCTCCCTCTAATAAATAAATATATAAACTTAATTTGATTTTTATAAAGGGAGAAGAGGGATGTCCTGAGCTCATCAGGTAGAAGCAGAGAGCTCTCACCTGTGCACTCTTAATCTCTCCTGTGTCTCTCTCACATTGGAAACACAGAGAGGAAATCTATGCTGTTTTGAAGGAAATGAAAGTGATAAATTTACTCTATCTGCTATCTAGAGTTGTTGTTGTTAAATGCTATATATGAATTTTTCTGGCAGGACCATCCTGGTGACCATGAGAATCCTGGTTAGCTTCCATCCTACAACTCTGTGCATCCCAGTTGTAGTGATCAAATCCATACACAGTACGGTCACCATTGGAAATGGAAGTAAAGTGTTCCAAGGCTACTGACCGACAATCACTTTCTAGGTGAAAAAGTGACTTCAAGACCCACTCCTTGAAAAGACAAACTGACTTCCAATTTTCCCAAATACTGATCCTTTAGTCCTAACTCCATCTCCAAAAGAAGATAAAATTCTAAACTGTAGTAGTGGAATCTTATCATCATCTTCAAGTAGATGCTTTCCTACAAGATGATCTGGACTACAACATCTTAAGAAACAGATCATTTTCTGACAGCCAAAGGATTGCAACTTGTAACAAAGAAAAGCCACATATGTGCTTAGGCAAAGTAGGAAAAAGACAAAGGTGCTCAGCACCAGCTAAGCTGAACAAAATGTGTTTCTTCTGGTAGCAAAGTGTCCAAGTAGAGCTATCTAGAAGACAGAGTATCAGAGTTGGACTTCCGGAGATGGGTAGGGCAGAGAATCAGTCCTGGCAACCACATTAAAAACTGTCCAAATTTCAGAGGGCGAACAGACATCCCAGGCCCAAAGTGTAGAGCTCAGTCACAGACTTCCAGAGCAGAAATCTCACGGATGATCCTGCGTAGTCCTCTTAACACAGCCTCCAACCTGTGGTGATAAACAAGCCTTTACTCTTCAGCCCTGGCCACAGACCCGAGGAGACTTTGCTAATTTCACTTCCTACGTGCTACTATTGATTTTCAGAGGCTTCTGGTTCTTGACCTTGGCTTTTCATTTTTTGAAGCTTTTGATTCTGAGTCATCCATTGGCCTCTGAAATTGTCTCA